TCGTCATCATCATCATCGTCATCATCATCATCGTCATCATCATCATCGTCATCATCCTCGTCATCATCATCATCATCATCATCATCATCACCGTCATCATCATCATCACCGTCATCATGATCATCATCATCATCATCATCATCATCATCATCATCCGTTTCTTTTCTCTTTTTCGCTGCCATCGTCGTTTTTTCTCCTTTCCGTTCTTCACTCTCTCGGCCGCTGATCCCTCTCTTCTCGGGGAGTTCGAGGCCCTTGGGATGAGCCCAGCCCAAGGCGGATCGGGGCGAGGGAGGCGATTGGGAGATATTGGGAGTGGGGGTCGGAAGATAGTTTCTGGAGACGAGAGAGGAGTTTCTGGAGAGGAGTTTCCTTTTTTCCCGGAGTGATTCTGTGGCATTCTGTATACGTCCTCACAGACGTTCGGCCCAACCAAAGAGTTCGGAAACTCGGAAGTTCGGTCCTGGGCCGAACTGGGACGGGAGATGAGACTGGATGTGACGATATTGGATGGCTCGAGCTTCGGAAGGTTTCCAGGGCCAGTTTGTTGGGACCTCTCCATCAACGTCTGCTTAGATTGGGCCTAAATGTGGCAGTAGTTCAACACCCCATATCGTATCCTATCCCTCATGTCAATTCATGGTGCACATGGTGACATGTTTTGCCGTATTGGTTCAAGGCTTGACAGGCTCAACACGCTTCTGTTTAAGCTTACTCTTTGGGGTTGCAGCAGGTTTTGCTCTGACCAGGCAGGAGATGGGCCGAAAAGTTGCGAGAGAATGCGAGAGATACTGGAGAGAAAGAGATCAAGACAGCTTGAAAGAGAACTAGTACTCCAGGCAAGGAGGCTGCTTTCGTCTCAAAGGGGGAATGGTCTGCATCATCCTGGTTCTCTTCAAGGAAAGATCTATCGAAGAATCAGCAGAGGCTCAGCACCTTGGGAACCTTCAGAAAGCTCAGCCCGCCACGAGGCCCGATGGCGGCTGTCTTTGAAGAGCACGGTCCTGCTTATGTCAGTGCGGTCCCACGAGCTTTCGGGATTGAGGTTCGTCATTGTCGTCAAGCTTTTGTGACGAAGCCAATCATTGACAAGCCAAAGCCTTTTGAACAACTTCGATTAATCCCAACAAGTTTGGGTGGATGATTTGCAAAGACACATGACATGCATCGACATGCATTGACATCACACCCAATGGTCGAATCATTATTCTACTCCTTGTGAGTAGCTAGCTGCTTAGCTACTAGGTGTTTCCGGCCATCGATATTGTTGGAGGCCATGGCTACTAGTAACAAGAAACTATGAACGTATCATAAACACTCCGTGTGGCCCTCGGGTTTCTGCCATCTATCAGTCTTCCACGCCGACTCTCTTTCCGCCCGACTCATCGGCGGAAAAAGACTCGCCACCCAGGTCTGGGCAACGTGTCGCCACCACTGACGCTTGGACGGGTGTTTTTTGGTTCGCACGCCCACATAGGTGTGTATCTAACAGGAGACCTCACAGTTGGAGCCCTAGAAGAAGGAAAATAGACCAAAGCACATTGGTTGGCTGCCCAAGTTAAATGGACACCTAGATGCTTTGGCACATCACGTGGCTGCACTGACACAAGCCAATCTTGAGCAAACCGCTTTTGAATGGAGCTATGTGTCAAAATTGGAGCTCCATGAGCTTGCTGATTCAAACACCAAGCACCTGTAAGACACTTCATGTTTTCTTAACCTTGGACGTCATTTTTGCAGTCCACCGACCTGTGCTTGGAATGTGTTTTGTTTCTCTTTCAATCCCGTGTCGACGCGCGGTTCACGGTGCATGCCGCCGTGGTGGTTCTCTGTCTGCGACCCCGTCGCTGCGACGGCACGCTGAGGCCCAAATCGTGGCCCCAGACGTGGGGTGAGGCAGCGACGGATTCGTCCCTTGGACAAATCCGGTGGCCAAGAACGGTTGGAAGGGTCTGGCCACAAACCGAATAGGCTTAGCGTCCGAACGCTCCGTTCGTAGCGATGCCAGGAGCCCCTAGTAGCTTTTGTTACTAGTAGCTACTTGCTCCTAATAGTACGGCCAGGAGCCCCTAGTAGCGTCCTAGCTCCGCTCTTCCACAGGGACTTCTCTAAAAAAGACAGGTTCTATATGCCACCCCTTCGAAGTCTCCACATGGAGAGTTCATACTCATCGTTGTTCAATTTTTTTCTGTTGGGAGTCCGACCCGTCATAGGCCAGTTATTTGGATGAAACTGTCAAAACAGACCTTCTGCGAAAGGGAAACTCCTGTGTGCGAAAGGCCAGCGATTCGAGGGTGAAAGACATAAAGTAACTTAGACATATGCAACATACAGTACATAAATCAACAAGATCATATCATGCTACCTGCTGGAAGTGCATCAGTGTGTGTATTAGATATTTAGATATTGAATCTTGACTGCAGAAATCAGTTAAGTATATAATTCATGTTTCACTTGTTTTCCTTGAGAAGTACGATGATTCTCGCGAAAGGGCCATGAAAGGGCAGTTTTCAAGGAGCCGCCTTAGAAGATTTGGAGAACCCCTATATGCAGACATCTATGCAGTTGCTCCACTTATATAACTTAATATTTCTATATTAAATGTCTATGTAATATCCATGATGCAGAAGCAAAAGACCCATGTCAAACACGTGGAGATGATGCCAAGGTTGAATTCCTTGGTTTTTCCTGGCCTGGATTTCTCAGGCGCGAGAGGGTTGTGATGCACGGGCGAGCGGTGTCGCTGTTGTGACGGCAACAAGTGGCTTCGCAGATCAGGAAATCCAGAATCGTTTGGTGTGTCACCCTAGCCTTCCATGAGCATTTTAAGAATCGTCAAGCTGGTTTTTGTGCACAATCCTTAGTAAAAACACAAGTCGTGTGGCAATTAAGGACCATTCAAATCAGCTTCGACATGGTTTCGTTGTTTGATCAGCCGTTTCGCTGGGTCAGGCTGGAGGCCTCTGGTAGTTGAATCTAAAGATGTGAACTCTGGATTCTTCTGGTCGGAAGAGACATTCAGAACCAGATTAGAAGCAATTCCACGAGGATCAACGAAGTCGGCCAATCGATTCATCATGATTCATCCATCAATTCGACCAATTCTCTGAATCTATCCATCCACTTGTCAATCTCACTTTCTATTTTTACCTACCTGCCTGTTTATCGAACAGACTATCTATAGAATAGCTCTATCTATAGAATAGCTCTATCTATTTGTCCGTCTGTCTGTCTGTCTGTCTATCTATCTATCTATCTATGTCCATGTCTATCTTTATCTCTCTTTATATCAAAATTGTGGAGCTCAGTATCTTTAAGCACGGTAGAGTTGGATCTGTGGCTGTGGGGCTGAGGGTCAGGGCCATCCCTGGGTGGGATGGCGAGGCTGGACAAGTAGACGGCCACACGTGCACATGGTGCCTCCCTTGCTGCAATCCGATGACGTGATTGGAGGGGCTTACTATGGCTTAGTCGTGGGCCACAAGAAGGCACCCAAACCTGCTCATGCATAGTGCGCTTTTTAGGGCTGCTGTGCTACCCATTTTTCGAGTTGCTGAGGTTTGGTCTTTGGGCAGCCACCCTTCTCGGATTTGAAATTGGATGATTCCACGCTACTTGGCTGGGACTGCATCAAGCTTTATCTCATCATCTCACCCGTTGAGCAGGTCTCGCTATTTCACCTTGGATTTTGAACCCAAAATCCATCGATTCTCGCGAGTGTTTCCATCCCACCTACTTACAGGTACTTGCAGTGTGCGGCTCACGATCTTTGTTTTTAGTGCATGTTGTTTGGATATTTCTTTTTTGGTGGCCGAATGAGGTCCTTCCCCGTGGATTTTTGGACGCCCAACTCCTTGAGCCCCTCGGTTTACGAAGACGAACGACGGAGGCGTTCTAGAGGCGTTCGAACTCGTTTGCCGAGGAGGGTTAGACGTGCGACAGGGCAGTTGCTATTGTTTGCAAAAAAGAATGATCGCAAGGGCCGCAAGGGTTTCTACTCTGGAACCAGGAGAGATCTTGGTTGGTACACTGGTACGCGGCCACGCTTTTTTTTGCGTTCACAACCCCCAAGGTGAGAGAATGACCCTGACTGAGACTCGTCAGGCCAAACCAGAAATCAGCAAAACGGACTCCGCCAAACGGACCTCCACACTGGTCCGGAACGTTCCGGAGCCACCCTTGGAGACGCGAGGGCGAACGGGTGAACGGGAGGACCTGTGAAACGATTGCCAAGGAGAGCTTCTGGTTGCTAGAAAGCTTTATTGTTACTAGCGATGGCCTCCAACCTAATAGCGCCTCCACCTAGTAGCTTCTAGTTACGGAAAGAAGATTTGTGCTAAGGGCAGGTCGTTTATGCCTGTTGTCTAGACCAACAGCTAGCCAGTCGCAGATTATGGGCGTGAAACGCTGCAAACTGGGTCATACAAGCACTTTGGTTGACTTTGCTGACCTGCTATAATATAGATTTGGTGAACGCAACATGTAGCTCCAGGGCCAAAGACAATATTGTTTGAGTTGGACAAGTGAGCAGCGGCCAAAACTTCCCAACTAACAATTTGAAGAGAGGTTAATGTATTATGCCTTCGCGAAAGCAACACATGCAGTCGCGAAAGGTCCGCGAAAGATTGTGCGAGCTTTTCATTGGCGAAAGCTTGCGAAAGCTCGGGAAAGTTGGCAAAAGCTTGCGAAATCAGTTCCGTCCGCGAAAGCTTGCGAAAGTGTTTTTGCGCAGAATGCAGCGCGCGAAAGCCAAAACACAAGCCGCAAAAGTGTTGCGAAAGGAATTTGCGAAAGAAGAGCCCATTAGAACAAATTCTCGATAGGTTTTGAGCGATGCTCAAGTAGCTTTCTTCCATAAATTTTAACAAGACCAAGCAAAACCACCATTTCTGCCGCAAGGGAACCAACAGTCGGAGGCTTGAGACAGGACAGAAGCAGACGCAGCTGAGGTGTGGGTCTACCCACATCAGCTTTCAAGGCATTGGAGAGTGGTGCAAGTCACAGAATCTGCAAATGATCGAAGAAAATCTCACAATCTCCTCTTCACCTGGAGTTGCTTTCTTCCATCGCTCTGTGGGAAGTCGATCTCAGGATTTGTTTCCAAGTAAGGATCGAACAAATTGTCATGAGAACCACCCATAGAGTTCTGTGTGATGGCCGTCATGGGTCATTTAAAGGTCATTGTCATATTGATTTTGTTTAGGGGAAGCTGGTCTTTCTGCACGTACGTGGCAGGAGGCGCAGAAGCTTCAGTTCATGCAGGCACCAAACTGCCATGCCGTGGCACGGTCATTTCCAAACGCAGATCGGAAGCCGGTTTTCCGAAAGAGAGTTTTGTAGCTAAACAGAATCCAAGGAGGGAGGGCAATGCAAGCAGGAGCAGGCCCGGCTTCTGTTTCACAAGGCTTTAAGGCCTCTCCAGCTTCTGGAGGAGGCAAAGGCCGGGGTCGTGATTCCAACGTAAGTCCATGTGAAGTGATGGCTTTCGGTCCGGAGTGTGGGTCTGGAGGGATGAGACCTGATGGTGGCCTCGACCGATTCGGCCCGGAGTCCACCTCACCAGTAGATGCAACAAAGACTTGCTGGCAGGGTTAGTTAGGATAGTCGCCATCATGACTAAGCTAGCCTAACTATATAATGGTTTAGATTAATTTGGCATGCTTAGTTTGTTTGGCACTCATGACTGTCATGACTCATAACTGTTGTGCCACCGGCTTCCTACGGCTTCCAGGATGATGCTTTGTCGAGCGAGAAAGAGACCAGCAAGGATCTCTTGAAGAGGCTCAAGACTTTGCCATAGCAAATTCATGCAAATTCATTTCCAGGGAGATGACATGATGACAAGAGCTGATAGATAGATGAACAGGACGACTTCGAGACACATCCCAGAAACCAAAAGAGACCAACAGAGTATATATACATATATTTCCCCAAACAGTTTACTGTTGGGGTTCTATCTTAAAAAAAGAGCTGGCCACACTCACTGGCCGCGCCCCTGAACTCTGCGGCTGGGCTCTGTGGCTGGGCTCTGTGTCTAGGCCTTGTCCTCCTCTTGTCCTCCTCTTGGCCGCGCGCCTGAACTCTGTGATTGGCTGGGCTCTGTGGCTGGGCTCTGTGTCCAGGCCTTGTCCTCCTCTTGTCCTCCTCTTGGCCGCGCGCCTGAACTCTGTGATTGGCTGGGCGCTGTGGCTGGGCTCTGTGTCCAGGCCTTGTCCTCCTCTTGTCCTCTGGGCTCTGTGTCCAGGCCTTGTCCTCCTCTTGTCCTTGTCTTGGCCGCGCCCCTGAACTCTTGGCTGGTCCCTGTGGAGTGTGGCCGAACAAATAGCGATGTCAATGCCGACCAAAATTCACTGATGAAGCAGTTTGCTCTTGGGGTGAAGGTAGGGCGTACCAAGAAATCGATTTTTGACTGATATTGGTCTAAGCGAATCGTTTTGAAGCTGTTTGGGGTCTATGCTTGTATAATCTATATGTAATGCTGTACCAAAATGTTTGTGTCCTGCGCAAGATTGCCAATCGCTTAGAGACAGCAGCTTTTGAAGGGTCACGGTTCTAACATGCCAACTCTGCCGCAAAGCCAGGCAGCTTCAAAAGACGCAGCTCTGCATGTTCTGGAAGAGGCCTTAGGGGGGGAGCAAGGCAACGCCCAAAGCACTCGAAGGTCCTGACAGCATGACGGGCTTGGGCCCTCCCCACTTTGGGAAGCTCAAGGGAGTAGAGAGCGAGAAGACGCCGACCCACCGTGGCTTGTGTGCGTCACAACCGTGGCTTGTAGCACTGTAGCGGTGACCTTGCGCCAAGGTCCACGTGCCGCGTGAAGAAACAACCAACGCGTTCCAACCCAACACCCAACAGGCCCACCTCTGCCAGAAAAGCGCCGGACCCATTTTCCCTTTCAGCAAAGAGCACTTCTGAAGTTGGACTCCAAACAAACCAAGAAGGGTCAACACTTTGAAGCCAACAAAGACAAACACAGTTCCAAGTTCCAACAGCTTTGTTTTTTTGTTTCCAAGGCGTTCTTTTGATCCTCAACACCTTCACTCAGCTTCCTCCTTCCTCAACCCTGCTTACGAAAGGCGGTTCTGCCAGTTCTGCCCCCGGCCGTTCCACCGTTCGCCTTGCCACAGCCGGTTCTGCCGTTCCACGGTCTCGACGGGCGTTGTGAGACGGTTCGCCTTGATGGGCCTTGGTTGATTCGTCCCTTACGTGGACCACGGCGTAATGGTGACTGCCCGAGACGGCACGGCGCGGGACGGTTGGTGGTTGCATCGAAGTCCTGCGTGGTCCGACAGGAATTGTTGCGCCAAGGGCTCGGACTGCACCTTCGCGCACAGCGTGGAGGCGGGGGAACGGTGGGGAAAACGGGGGAACGGCGGGAAGATCCAGGAGATGAGAGGTGTTGTTGAGGTTTTGTTGAGACCTGAACTAGGACTCTCGTCCAGTGGTACAGTGGTGCATGGGCCTAAAAGGGCTGTGGTTTTGTGTGGAAATGAAGACAGCCCAGCCCAGGCCTAGTGACCACATGGCATCTCCTGCCTAGGAGCTCAAAGAGCTGCCTGATTTGAGGAGGACATCTTTGTGCAAGCAGTCAAACCCTGAGTCGGCCAGAAGGGAAGGAAGGTGGACATTTATGCTGCGATTCGTGGGGCCACTTGGCCGCCAAACAAAAATTGATGGATGAAGCCTGTTTCACGGCACCAGCCTCTTTCATCACCCCATCACCGTTCTGTTTCACGCCATCCACGGGTTTCTCCGATGTGAAAACACGAAAACACTCACGTCACTCACCTCTTTCACAACTCCTTCACCCCACCCAGGTGGCTTAAAGGCCGGTGCCCTCTTTCAGCTTCCACCTGTCGGTCCGGGGCCCCGACCGTGGAGGTGTCTCCTTTTGCGTGGTCCAAAAAGCATGATCCGAACATGAAACGAACCAAAGACACCATTCAAAGATCGGTTCGTCTTTTCCAAGATCCTTATCAACATCAATCCTTATGAAAAAGATCAACGATCCTTATGAAAAAGAACAACACACCCACCCAATCGTCTTGTCTTTGCTGAAGCGCACGACGACCCCAACCCCAACCAATTAACGATTGTTGAGGCCACATGCTCTTTGTTACAACATGTTACCACATTATCATCAGTGTGATCACGACAACATGGTCATTAACACAATATCATCGGTTCATTGTTACTGCATGTTCTTCGTCATCATTGCTTCATCTTAGTTAAGGTCAAGTGTCTACAATCATGCCGTTGGATGTGGGAGCACATTGGAACACCACTTAGTGCATAGCTGCCGGCTCACGTTTTTGCCGCATCGCACTGAA